TACATATATATACATATACATATATATATATATATATATAAACTATTCTACACCCTCCCTCCCAAGGGTCACACCCACCTCCCCCTCCTTAACAAGGCCCAAAACTCACTTCCCACCTCGGTTAAAGGTCCCTCCCACCGGTCAAACCCGCCTACTAACTCCCCCCACCACCCACCTCTTCTCAGCTCTCGTCTCAGGACGGTGCAGTAACATGACGACCTCTGTGCAGTAACACTGTGTCTTACGTGTAGTAACAGCGTTAAAATATAGTTAAAATATAGTCATGACGGATCTACTTTTGATAAGCTCTTTTTTTCTAGCATTATGGTGCAAACAGTTTTAAAAAACCTTACATCACTTGGGAGATACTGTTCTTTAAAGCTTGACTTTTTTGCAATTTGTCTCTCCACAAGTAGTAATACTATACTATTGCTTGTTACTACTTGTCTGTTGTACGTTACTACAATCGCAACACGATGTTACTACACTGTGTTTTACTGTATTTTTTGGGTAGTGTTACTGCATAAACACGTGGTAACATATACCTTCCGTACAGTAACACTTTTACTTTTGGTGCAGTAACAAGTATATGGTTAGTATTTGAGACTTTTAACCTATATATTTTTGCTGTAATTCACCACAATATTACTGTAAAAAGTGCAGTAACGTCATATACATATAGTAACACTATATTGAAGGGAGGAGACCGATTTTCTTAAGAGGGAGGAAGAACGGTTTCTTGAAGAGGGGAGTACGTAGATGCATTTTGAAGTTTAACCCTCCACATGCAGTAACACTATAGCATCATGGTGGGAACAATTTTAAAAAATAATACATATCTTGTGAGATATTGCTTTTCAAAGATTGGCATTTTGAACTTTAACCCTCCACATGCAGTAACAGAATGTGTAACTTGCAGTAACAAGGGCATATACATGCAGTAACATGGTTTTACCAAATGTATAAAATTATTCAAACAACTCCTACATCAATCAGACCTCGCTCAAAGCCACCTACATGCTTTACCTATAGCCCACCTATTCGATCTTCATCTCGTAAAAATGACATAGTAAAACTATAATCATCATGCAGTAACATAGCTACTTAGAAGTGGTAATATGCGCCTATTATGTAGTAACACTTCTACTTTCGTGTAGTAAGAAGTATATGGTTAGCATGTGAGGCTTTAACCCATGTATTGTTGCTTTAATTCCTGATCTACTACAATTTTACTATGACGTTACTGCCAAAAGTGCAGTAACGTCCTATATGTTATACAGTAACGTCACATGTTACTGCACTTTTACAACAATGTTACTACTAGAGCATAGTAACATGTTATGAGTTTCGATAGTGAAAGATAGTAGAATTGATAATCATATTACTTTCTCATGAAATTCTTAAAACAAATAGCATCATTAGATGAATTGGTTAGAAGAATGTATTTTGAATTATGAGGTCATGGGTTCAAATCTTGAATTTGGCAATTTATTTTTTATTTTTCCAGAAAAGAGAAAAAAATATTTCAGGGAGAAAAAAACAGAAAAAATGAAATAAAAAAAGAGAGAGAGAAGGGAGGGGGGATCAGGAGCGAGAGAGAGAAGGGAGATCGGGAGGGAGGGGGAGCGAGAGGGTGAGGGGATCGGATGAGAAAGGGAGGGGGTAGAATAGTCTTACCCCGGGTGCCCCTAACAAATTTAATATATATATATATATATATATATATATATATTAAATTTGTTTGGTGCTCCATGGTGCCCGGGCACCATTGTTGAAATTGAGTATATACCCAATTCAAATGAGCATGAAACTTTTTTAATTATTTAGGTATTAATATTAACTACTTTACTAACTAGTTGAAAGCAAGTTTGAACTGAATTTGAACTTGTTTTTGTTATATTTTGATTCTAGGTATATAGCATCCATACATATAATTAGTTAGGTATGTAATCATGGATTGTGAAATAAAGTTAAATTTAAGTTGTTTTGTTGATAGGTATAGGTATGAATCGAATTCTTATAACTAGGTATATACTCACAATTTGAAAATTTTGAAAAATTTGAGTGATTTTGTGCATTTGAAACCATGGTGCCCGGGCACCATGGTGCCCCATATGAGTGTCCTATATATATATATATATATATATATATATATATATATATATATATATATATATATATATATATATATATATATATATATATATATATATTCTACATATACAAAATCTATATACATAAAGTTTACATATTCAAAGTCCGTATATATATATAGTCTATTTATAGAAATTTTCCAAGGATATTATTCATTTAAAAAAAATTCCCTTTAGCATTTTATTATTTCTGCACTAAACTTTCTAACTATGATGATAATATCTGTATAGAGTTTACATATACAAAGTATATGTGTATGTATATAAAGTTTACATATATAAAGTCTCACTATATAGAAAGTTAATTTCCACGGAAATTGTTTATATAGAAAACTTCGTTGAAAGATATAAAATACTATGTATAACGAAAAAAGAAATCTGAGAAATAAACAGAAGTGAAAAAAAAACAGAAATGCTTGATACTTGAAACGGATTACAGAAGAATCACGTAAAAGAAGGGGGGGAAAATGAAAACGGAAGAAAATACCGTGTCCTCCGATTTCCCCTTCCGACTGATTCGCCGGATCAAATAATCGCAAACGTTCGTGCACCACCCTTTTCGCTTCTGGATGGCGTTGGGACATCCGAAGAAGGTCTCTGTCTTAGGCCGGACCGAGGCAGGCCCATTCCGATTCCTAGCCCAACAGCCAACATGATAAAGAATAAGTTCACCTGTCATCCCTCAACTTAACAGCGAGATTTTTTAATCCCTTAACTACAAAACCAGAAATCATCACCCTTAAACTATACAAAACCGTCCAATTTACGTCCTATAGCAGTATAAACACCTTATTTCGCTGACGTGGCAATTTGACCCGGTCCACTAATTCTAACTAGGCGCTGATTTGACAAAAACGAAAGTGAGCCCCATCTGTCATACTCAGTCTCTCTTCTCCTCTCTCTCTCTCCCCTGCTCTTGGTGTCTCCTCCCTCGACGAGGTGATGGGGGCGGCGGTCGTTGCAGCCGGGGCGGCGAGGAGGTGGCGCGAGGGCGTCGTCTGGGGCTCGTGCCAACGACGAGCCGATGACGATCGACGGCTTGAGCCAACGAGGAGGTGATGCCGACTAGGGGCGGTGAGAAGGCAGCATCAGCGGCTGGCGCGGCGAGGAAGCGGCCTTGGCTAGGGGATGACGGCCCTGGGAGCCTCGTCAGGGACTGCTGGCGGGAGGAGCTCGTCAAGCCGGTCTCATGGTCGGAGAGCTCGACCGGGATGGCCATACCATGGAGGACCTCGACGGCGCGCGCAGCGAGCAGGTGGAGGGCGTCGGCAACCGCGGTGGGGTGGGCGCCAGCGGAGAGGAGGAACTGGGCGCGGCAGAGGAGGGATCTGGAGAGGCCATAGTTGCTGCCGCCGCAGGAACTGCCGTGGTCGCAGCCGCAGAGCCCACCTTCCCCAAGTCGACACCGGAGCTGGTCCCGCGCGCTCGCCCAACGGGCAAAGCACTGCATCATCCAATCGAAATCGATGAAATGTGGATGAAATTCATTTCAGACAATACAGAGATGAGAATGGATTTGGAATCGATTGGATTGGAAAGATTATCAATGAGGAAGAAAAATTACAGCACACACATATGTGAAAGAATTTGTTCCCATGACCTCCATTGTACCGAAATAATATGATTTGTTCCCACGACCTCCATTGTACCGAAATAATATGTTACGGAGAGATTTTTGGAAGTTACATACAAGTTACATTATAGTTACAATGTAATTACATGCAAGTTATAGTGTAATTACACTACGATTATACTGTAATTACATCTATCAAATTTTTAATAGAAAATTTGTCGACAAATATATAGCAAAATTGAAGAGAATAGAAGGAGAAGAAAAGAGAAGAAAAATATATGTGCAACTGACATGTGGGCCCCATGTACTTTTTTAAAAATTTTTTGCTGACTAGGATGCCATGTCAGTGAAACCACTCATATATACTGCCATAGAACCTTGAGTGCACGGTTTGTGTGAGTTTAGGGGTACATATTTCTGGTTTTATGGTTAAGGGACCTCAAAAAATCTCGCTGATAACTGTTAAGTTGAGGGACCTCTGGTGAACTTATTCAGATGATAATCTTCACGTCAGCCCAGCAGCATGCCACGATGTGTATTCGTGCCGTATTCGGGGCCCCTCAATTTTCGTGGCCTGCCTGCGCGGCACTGCGCGCTGCGAACAGCGAGCATATTTTTTGGCTACGAAATTCACTGCTCGATCAGAAGAGTTTGGTCATGCGAAGCAAAGCAAAGCGTGTGCATTCCCACCGTGCATGCGATCGAGCGAGCAGCTTCGTCGTCGTCTTCGTTTCATCGCTTCTGCTCGATCCCCCGATTTGCCACTCCTCCTAAATTGGCAAAGTCGCCTGCGAGCCAAGCATTGTAGGGCACATGCATAAAGCCAAGACCATGGCAATGGACGCACGAGCTTTCTTTCCTCTCTCTCCCCCTTCCTCCTCCTCCGGCCGGTCCGGTCACCGCCTGCCTCGTCGTCGCCGGCGCTGATCGGTTTCGCCCGCCCGACCGCGGCGGAGATCGAGGTATGATGGACGGGAACGCGGTGGACGAGCTGATACGGCGGCTGCTCGACGGGAAGAAGGTCAAGCCGTCGTCGTCGGCGAAGAAGGTGCAGCTCAGCGAGGCGGAGATCCGGCAGCTCTGCGTCACCGGCAAGGACATCTTCCTCTCCCAGCCCAACCTCCTCGAGCTCGAGGCCCCCATCAACGTCTGCGGTGATGATCTAGCACGCCATTGTTTCCGTTTCTTGAATTCTTTCATCGATCCGTAACAAATTATATTCTGCATTGCATACGCAGGCGACATCCACGGCCAATTCTCCGACCTGCTCCGGCTGTTCGAGTTCGGCGGGCTGCCGCCGACGGCGAACTACCTGTTCCTCGGCGACTACGTGGACCGCGGGAAGCAGAGCATCGAGACGATCTGCCTCCTGCTGGCATACAAGATCAAGTACCCGGACAACTTCTTCCTGCTGCGAGGCAACCACGAGTGCGCGTCGATCAACCGAATCTACGGGTTCTACGACGAGTGCAAGCGCCGGTTCAGCGTCCGCCTCTGGAAGCTCTTCACCGACTGCTTCAACTGCCTCCCCGTCGCCGCCGTCATCGACGACAAGATCCTCTGCATGCACGGCGGCCTCTCGCCGGACCTCGACAGCCTCGACCGGATCAGGGAGATCGCCCGACCCGTCGACGTCCCCGACCAGGGCCTCCTCTGCGACCTCCTCTGGTCCGACCCCGACCGCGAGAGCTCCGGCTGGGGCGAGAACGACCGCGGCGTCTCCTTCACCTTCGGCGCCGACAAGGTCACCGAGTTCCTCAACAAGCACGACCTCGACCTCATCTGCCGCGCTCACCAGGCAAGCCGCCATCGCCATCGCCACCTCCTCCTCCCGTGCGTTGCGATTTTGCATAATCGTCTCAACCTTGAAGCTCTTCTTGCGTTCTTGGGGGCAAATGGACGAACAGGTGGTGGAGGACGGCTACGAGTTCTTCGCGGACAGGCAGCTGGTGACCATATTCTCGGCGCCGAACTACTGCGGCGAGTTCAACAACGCCGGCGCGCTGATGAACGTGGACGCCAGCCTGCTCTGCTCGTTCCAGATCCTCAAGCCGTTCAGAGGCAAGTCGCAGGCGGAGTGACGACGAAGAGACGACGCCGGCGAGGCTAGCCGGCCGTCGATCGAGGCAGAGAATTTTTCTTTTTTTTTTGGGGATTTAGACAGAGGCTTCGTATACGTAGATCTGCATGCGCATTTCACAGCACAGAATTTTCTCGTTGATGCATATTTGGGGGGACAAACAGATGATCCAACCTCCACTTCTTCTGAATCCTTTGCTTGTAAACTGATTCAATACTTGTATATATAACCAATTAACCAAACATATAGTTCCTTAATCCTATATATGCATGGTCATGGTCTCGTGGAAGGAACAAAATTTTATCTGCAAATGCAGTAGCAGTTCTATGCAGGTAATATCCCAACTCTCAAGCTTTCTCTGAAGGAAACAATAATATCTTCTGTTCTAGCACCGGTGGAGAAGTGTTTTTAGTCCCGGTTCGTAACCGTCCAACCGGGACTACGAATCCGGGACTAAAGATCGCTATCTTTAGTCCCGGTTCAGATAACCGGGACTAAAAAATGCATCAACCGGGACTAAAGATATTTTTTCTTTTTTTTTCTGTTTTTAATATTGAATATTGATTTCACACCATCCCCTCCCATATCCAAATCATCACATATCACAGAACATCTCTAAATCCTCAAATCCTCAAACAAATCATCTCCAAATACATCACAAACTCTTAAAAAAATTACATCACAGGGTTCTAAAAAATTCATCACAGATTCACATCTCACACAAAAATACATCACAGATTCACATCTAAAAAAAAGAAAAAAAATCCGGCCGGCGGCCACTGCCGCCTCCCCTCCTCCCCTCCGCGCCGGCCAGCCGGCGCCGCGCCACCGCCGCCGCCGCACGGCCCCCCGCGCCGCCGCGCCGGCCGCCCACCACAGCCGCCGTGCGGCCCCCGCGCCGCCGCCCCGGCCGCCCGCCGCCGCCTCCGTGCAGGCCGCCTCCCCGCCGTCCCCCGCGTCGCCGCCTCCGCGCCGGCCACCCGCCGCCGCCGCCGCGGCGCCGGCTGCCTGCACGCTACTGCACTGTGGGTGAAGGAAAAACAGAAGGAGAGGAGGGGAGTTAGAGATAAGGAAAGAGATAAGAAGTTAGAGAGGAAAAAAAAGAGATAAAGGGAGAAGTTTGTTGTGTGGACGGGAAAAGAGGATCGGTACTAGGGATTATATAGTGTGTTTTGATTTTTATTCCCGGTTGGTCTTACTAACTGGGACTAAAGATCCTAGGGCCCTGACACGACCTAACATGGAATCAACCGGGACTAAAAATGAACTTTAGTCCCGGTTGGAGTTACCAACCGAGACTAAAAATGATTTTTAGTCCTGGTTGGTAACAACAACCGGGACTAAAGATCTTCCTCTTATTAACCGGGACTAAAAATCATTTTTAATCCCGGTTTTTAATGGAACCGGGATTATTGTAGATTTGGGTCGACCGACCAAAGATGGTTTCCCTACCAGTGTAGTCAGTTCTCTAAAGGAAACAATAATTGTTGTTCTCTGAAGGAAACAATAATGCTTAATCCTATATATGCATGGTCATGGGATAGCTTGCAGCAAGCAGAAGGTGGAGATGCTCCTGATGAAAATCTTCAGATAGGAAGCAATTCATGCTTCGGATCAAGCATTTGGAATGAGAATCCGTACCTTTTCATTTTTTTTTGAGAACTTAAGTAAAAGAACAATGTCAATAAGAATCCGTACCTTTTTTCATTTTCAAGAACTTAAGTAAAAGAACAATGTCAATAAGAATCCTTTCGGCAAAAAAATTTAGGTTGTGGGGCCATCCTGCAACTTTGCAAAAAAAAAAAGTTTAAGTTGCTTTGTCTGACGAAATGAAAACTACAGGAAGAGAACTGCAAACTAAGTGCTGATACCAACCCACTGGGTAATAATAATGGACATACATGGCTCATTGGTTCTTTAACTCTTAGGCTGTGTTCGCATGCACCTTTTCCCATCCCCTCTCCTTCGTTTTCCGCGCGCACGCTTTTTAAACTACTAAACGGTGTGTTTTTTGTAAAAAGTTTCTATACGAAAGTTGCTTAAAAAAATCAAATTAATCCATTTTTGAAAAAAAATTAGCTAATACTTAATTAATCACGTGTTAATGGACCGCTCCGTTTTCCGTGCACAGGAGTTAGGTTCCCATCTCCCCTATCCGAACTCAGCCTTAAGATGTTTGAAAGATCAAGTGATATCACTACCTTATCTTATCACTTATCTCATGAAATAGTAGATAGTTCTGTCAGTACTTCCCTTTCACAATCAAACAGAGAAGGAGGGACCTTAAAAAAAAGGTAATTTTACCATACTTAAAAAGGTACCTGGCCGGATCTAACATATTTCTTAGTGTAAAATTTAGTACCTATAGATATTAAATACCTCAAAGTACTAAAATATTTTGGTACCTCAAAGTACTAAGATACTTTCTGAAGAACTATAAAATTTCTCCCAAATTAAAGAGAAAAAAAATAGATATTCAAAATGAAATGACTTCCCTGAAGAACAAAAGCCATAAGATATACTTTCTCCATTTCACACTATACATTGTTTTGGGTTTTGAATAGATTTATATATTGATCCATGTATATATCTTATATATATGTCCAAATTCATATGAATGTTAGTGAATCTAGATAAGAGATGAAGAGACTAAAACATCTTATAATGTGAAATGGAGGGAGTTTCTTGTACCGATTTTCCATTTCCTCTATGTTATATGAAAAATGAATACTATGGTAGCAAAATTATATCATTTCAATCTTTAGGGCCCCTTTGAATCAAAGGATTTTATGTAGGAATTTCATAAGATTCAAATCCTATAGAAATTTTTCCTATGTGGTCATTTGAAGTTTTCCAAATCCTATGAAATTCCTATAAAATGGCTCATTGCATATATATTTTAGAGTAAACATAGCAATAGCTCTAACCTTTTGAAAAATTATCTTTGAGTTCATTTCTCTCATCCGATTCCTACGTTTTTTCTGTGATCTAATGAAACGATTATTCCTATATTTTGCAATCCTATGTTTTGCACTTGCATTCTGTTAGAATCATGTGTTTTTTTGTATTCCTCTGTTTTCTTAGTCCCGCGATTCAAATGGGCCTTAGAGGTTGCAACTTTTCAAGCTTAACTGTTCGGTCAGTAATCAAGATCAAGATAATGCGTACTAGTTGCATACTAGGGTACTCTGTTTACAACTATCATGTCTCTATTATCAGTGCAACAGTGGCATGAGATTTGAACACAATACAAATCCGATGAAGAAGATTCTCCTATGCCGTTTAACAAAGTGGCATGTGTGGTGTATGCTCAGTATTAAAACATGAATCGTTGCAAAAGTCAAATCACTACTCTTAATTATCTTCCAGATAAATACCTGTCCATGAGCTACCTAAACCTACATGCAACTTGTGTGACAACTTATCCTTCATTTTAGTAGTGCAAGTGAAATGCTAGATACCAAATGGGGGTTATATTGTAAGCACTATAATAGGACATCAACGCAGTTTGTTTAATGCTTGCTCGTGCAGTCTAGAGATTTGCAACTTTTTGGTGTGATGGGCTGCCATAACACATCATGTATCATGTTGCATTTCAAACAGCTGAAAGCATAACTAAATTACAATTTGTAGTCGGTTTTCGCTCCCGAAAAAAATAACAAAAAATTGTAGTGGATGCAGCCGAGCTCGCTATCCACGCTTTGGATGCCCCACTTGTCAAATTGTTCACCAATAAGCTTACCTGAATAATAATTGATTAGGCGTATGTTCTGAAGAATCATCGAATTTGTATTCACATTGCAAGTCATGTAGCTGATACAATCATGTACAATAATTCAATAAAGTAATTTTGATGATCCTTGCCTGATCTGATTTTCTAGAATTGCACGAACTTCTTAGCAATTGGTTGCTTTAACAAAGAGATCTAGAGTGATGTACATGTCAGATAATGATCGAAGTAAAAAAAAAGTGTGGTCAGGAGGGGCCGAAATGCCAGCTACACAGTTCATGAGTTGATTTATTTATTTTTAGATAATGAGGCCATGAGTTGATAGCTCCTGTAATAAATTATGCGAATGGTCCTTCATTCTGAAAAATGAAATTTGCAAGGAAACAATATAGTTCTTGATGAGTTGATGTGAATGCATGCAACTTCACAAGCATAATAATCCAGAAACAGCAGTACTGCATTGCATCCAAAGTCAAAATGGCTGAAAATTTCAAGCATTTCTAGACTGCAGCAGAGCTGGTAGGCTGAATGATTGGTGTCGTGCTGCATGCGTCTATCAGTCTATGCCCTGATGAACAGAATGAAATTGCTTGCGTGCGTGCGTGCGTTTGTTTGACATTGCGTTGCCCATCACGCATGCAACGACATGGATCATCAGCCTGTACATCGATCCTATCTGCCCTGTTGCATTCGTAAACACAGCACAGCCGATAACCTGAATTTTTCTTCAGGGAAAGATACTGAAAGATACTTCGTGTCAAGCAACGAAAAAGCAGGCATCAACATCATGTCTTCCACATGTGCTGTGTGGTGTATATTGAAGAGGAGAATAATCTTCGCTAATATTCTTTCCGGGTATAATTAAGTGGCTGCATGTCGCTGTTATCACTGATTTCTGGGGGTGAAAACCATGTCACTCTCTCATAAGTGCAATTAACGTACAACGAATTTCACATCAGTATTCACTATTTGGGGTTAAAGAAAGTTCAGAATTGACGCCACGTTTTGCGCCCTTGTGCGTGGCGTTTACCGTGCGAAGAATTTGCTGAAGTTGCAACGAGTATACATGCCCTAGTCACTGACTCCCTTATAACAGTATTTTACCGAGTTGGTTGATTAGGTCGCCCTGTTTTAATATAACCACGACGTAATCATTGCGCAGTGCCACAGTTCATGCATTGCCAGGTGTCAAAAGGAAGCCATCTCTGAAGATTTCTGAACTGCCACCCTGTTTCTGAACTCTGTCCAATACAGTCATAACCATATACAGTACGGAGTATTTAATGGAGCTGAAATGAATGGACGTAATCAATCAGATACACTTTGCTCCTGCTGCTGCTAATAGCTTGCCTTTTAGTATTAGCATTTGCGCAATTACATCAACGGCAACAATTTCCTGCCTCATGAAGCGATGAAGAGGCAACCTTTAACAAAGCCTCCGTCTCAGCAAATGCAGAGCCGGTAGCAACTAAATTTATCACACCTAATCTTATGCAAATCACACTTTTAGCGGATAGTGTTTGATTCATACCACAACTCTTCTTGTTTAACTCTAGCCACATGGTCCACGTGTTA